GGGTCGTCAGTACCGTGCACGCGAGCCTCCCGGAGGGGAGGAGGGCCACGAAGGGCCAGCGGAAGGCGGAGCATGCTTTCCTCGCGAGCGACGGTGGCAACAGGGGCGGAGCGCCCGGCCGCAGCAGCGGCGGCCACAGCAAGGGCGGCGGCGGCGGTGGCAGCCAGAAGGGGAAAGGGGGTGGTCGCAAGGGCGGTGGTGGTGGCAACAGCGGCGGAGGCGGCGGCGGTGCAGGTAGCATGCACGGCCGCTGCTTCCGGTGCGGAGAGAAGGGTCACCAGGCGGCCGCCTGTACCAAGCCGGAGCCCCTGCGATGCGAGAAATGCCTGGGCTACGGACACGACAAGAGCAAGTGCTCGTCCGAGCAGGCGGTGCTCGCGGTGGAGCTGCCGGTCTTGGACGCCACCGCACTGGACGTGGCAGAGGAGGCGCTAGTGGTCCGTGACTTCACAGGCGAGTGGAACAGAGTCGTTGATCGAGGGGGTGTAGAGCAGGCCAGGCAGGAAAGGTTTGTGGCCGATACCGGCGCAACCAACCACATGTTCCCGAGCGCTAACGCGTTCGAAAACTACCATGAGTGCGATCGACGTTTGAGTGTCGCCGCAGGGAAGCAAGCCTTCGCCATAGTAGGCTACGGCGACGTGAGGGTGACCATCGGTTCTCGCGTTGGGACCACAGACCTGCTGTTGAAACGGGTCGCTCATGTGCCGGAGCTGAATTACAACCTCGTGTCCCTCACAGCCCTTTTGAAGCAAACCAAGGGCCGCTTAGCCGCAGACGAGCGTGAGTTGGAGGTGTTCGTTGGTGGGGGGGAGTCGGTGTACTTCCCTCTATGGGGGGACCTGTTCGTTCAGACTGGTCACCGCATAGACTCGGGTAGGGAACTAGCCTGTGCCATAATTGCTCCTGGTAACGCGAAAGCGAACCGCACCCCCGTTGACATCAACGACTTCCACTGCGCGCACGGCCACTCCCACGAGGTGCTGCTGAAGAACACGGCGAAGCAGCAAGGGGTGACGCTGGTGGGCCAGCTCCGGGAGTGCATGGGGTGCTCGACGGCAAAGGGGCTATCCAAGCCCATCCCCAACAGGACGTCCACCCGTGCAGTTAAGAAGCTGCAGAGAGTTTTTGTGGATTTGAGTGGGAGGGCAAGGGTGCAGAGCTTGGGGGGGAAGTGGTACACTCTCATTGTAAGGGATGACTGCACGAGGTGGAACCGCGTCTACTTCTTGAAAAACAAGTCAGACGCTGCAGAAGCATTCGAGAGATACCTAGCGGAAAACCGGGCAGACGGAGCCCCATCCGAGGTCATGGTCGTGCGGTCTGACAACGGAGGAGAGTTTTTCGAGGGAGAGTTCGGAAAGCTGTGCCGCAAGTACTGCATCAAGCAGGAGTTCACCCCCGCATACAGCCCAGAATACAACGGTGTAGCTGAGAGAGCACTGGGACTGATCAAGGATGCAGCACTAGCCGCGCGCATACAAGCGCCGATTCTTTACCCCGAAGCGCCGAGCTACCCCTCCCTTTGGGCCGAAGCTACAGCTTGGGCATGCAACGCCCTTAACTGCACCTCCACCACATCCAACCCGGACAAGAAATCGCCGTACGAAATGTGGCACGGGCACCCACCTCCCCCAGAGGCGACGTACCCGTTCCTCAAACCCGCCGTATACAAGGTCAAGCGCACGCACAAGTCAGAGCCGAAAGCAAAAAAGTGTTTTTACCTCGGCCCTGGAATCAACACAAACCGTGATTGCGTGCGCATCCTGAACGAAAAACGCCAAGCGATCACAACTCGCAACTTCACCTGGCAATCTGTGCCCGCCGCCCCGACCGCGCACCCCCAGCCGCTGCCTCCCATTGCAGAGGAGGACGAGGAGCTCACGACTGGGGAGCACGAGGGCGGGGAGGGTGCGTCATGCCACGGTGGAGGGAGGGCGGAGGGAGAACCTGAGGATGGAGGTTTCCACCTTGACACGACGGCAAACCCGGGGCCCGCGGAGCCGCCCGCGCGTGATGCGCCGGCGACGCCGCCGGCCGCGCCCCAGGAGTCGGGCGCGGGCGACGCTGGCGATGGCGCCCCCTCGAGCAGGGAGGGCGCGAGCGTCGCCCCATCTACCACGTCGACCGGGATGGCCGATGTGGGCGGCGGCGAGGACGACCGTCGCAGCAGCAGCAGCCGCGGTGGCGGCAACAGCAGCAGCAACAGCAGCGGTAGCGGCAGTGACAGCGGCAGCGACACGGACATCCCGGCCCTCCGCGGGCCCGAGGGACGGAAGCTCGCCCGCTTTGGCGAGCCGGCGGAGCTCACCAGCCGCCGACTCAGGGAGAACCCTCGCCGGAACATGAGGTACGAGTCGTCGCCGTCGCCAACGAGTGCCGAAGGCCTGCTCGCCCGCCATGCGTCGGAGGCGGGGCTGCCCATCCTGCCCATCAACAGCACGACGGAGCACACCCACTGGATGATCGCGTGTGTGGTCGACGTGGTGGAAGAGCTAGAGGCGAGGGCGGTGCAAGCGCTGCTGTGCGAGCGCGCGGAGGAGGCCAACATCGCGCGCCAAGAGGCAGAGGACTTCCTGCTGGGAGCGGAGGACCTCGTGCTCAACTCTCCAGACGCCTTCGCGAGGGCCCTGGCGTCGACCGAGCTGAGTACAGAATCCCCCATAGGCAAGCGTCCGAGTGACGTCGAATCCCCCCCCATGACCGTAGCCGGCGTTAACAAGTCTGTGTACAGAGAGGGATGGGAACAGGCCATGAGGGAAGAGTTTGATGGGCACTTGGGCACGGGAACGTTTTCATTCGTAGACGGTACGCCAGAGGGGCGTAGACCCGTGAGCTCGAAGTGGCGCTTCACTTGGAAGACAAACAAGGACGGAAAAATTGAGAAGTTCAAAGCGCGTCTGGTCGCTAGGGGGTTTTCGCAAATCCCGAACGTGGACTACTTCCACTCATCCTCCCCTTGCCCATCATCCGCATCCATTAAACTGATGCTTGCGGTAGCCAACGAGAAATCGCTGAAACTCAACCACTGGGATGTCAAGCAGGCGTTTACACACGCTAAGTTGGACGAGGATGTGTTTCTGAGGCTCCCCGCGGGGTGCGGGGAAAAATCCCACAAAGTTGTGAAGGCTGAGCGTGCTATTTACGGCTTGAAGCAGAGCGGCAGGCAGTGGGGGTACCACGCTGCCGATACTCTTGTAGAAAACGGGTTCGAGCAGTGCAAGGCTGACCCGTGCGTCTTCCGCAAGATGAAAGACGATGTCGTGGTGATGATTATCGTGATTTATGTGGATGACATTTTGGTGGCCGGGTCTGATGATGATTGCAAGGAGTTGCTTGCTTCCCTCAACAAGGCATTCCCCACCAAAGACCTTGGAGAGTGCGTGTGGTTCGACGGGTGTGCCGTCGAGAGAGACCTAGAGGCTGGGACCCTTAGAATCTCCCAAACCGCGTACATTGACAGCATCGTGAATCGCTTTGATGTGCAGTCGACCTCCTCCATCCCTGCTTCCCCTGGTGTCGATATAGGACCGAAGCGGGATGACGAGAGTGGAGGGGAATGGCCGGTGAGGGAGGCCATCGGCAGCATGATGTGGGTGTCGACGTTCTCGCGCCCGGACATCTCGTTCGCCGTGCGTGCGGTAGCGCGCCATGCCCATGCCCCTGCCGAGAGGCACTGGAAGGCGATCGTGAAGATCCTCGCCTACCTCAAAGAGACGAGGGACCTCGGGATCACCTACGAACGGGGATCGGGGTTGGGGCTGGCGGTGTACGTGGACGCTAGCTACGCCGACGCTGAGGATAGGCGTTCGGTGTCAGGGCTGGCAACAACGGTTGGAGGGACCGTCATCAGCCACGGTAGCAAGACGCAAGCTATCGTATCTTTGTCGTCTACGGAGGCAGAGTACATTGCTGCCGGGGAGGGTGTGAAGGAAGCTTTGTTTGTGCGTGCAGTGCTTTCGTTTATTGCCCCAGAGACCAGTGGCAGCAGCATTCAGGTCCTTGAGGACAATCAGGGGGCTATGGCTTTGGTGCAGAACCCCCTCAGCTCAGCGCGTAGCAAGCACATCGACGTGAGGTACCACTTCATTCGTGGATTGTTCAGGTCGGGGGACATCTCGATCAAGTTTGTGTCGACGTCGGAGCAGCATGCCGACATGCTTACCAAGGCTCTTAGCAAGAGCAGTCTGCAGTACCACCGGCGCAAGTTGATGAATTTGCCGGAGTAGCTAGCAGTTTTTAGCACTTGGGAAGGGCCATGTTTACCATGCGGGAAAGTCGCATTACTGTCGCGGTCTGTGTACCCATGGCAGGAGTAGGGGGCGTTGGGAGGCCATCGTCCGGGGGAACGTAGTTCCTTGCGATCTTGTCTTCGCCTTGGTCTTTCTGATAAGTGCGGCCGTTGTACATCCGCCGTGATAGCAATGGTTTTTGTGTTGGATGGGGTTTTCTTTGGAGGGGTTTTGCCCGGGGGCCGGGTTTCCCCTCCACCACCGTATGGTTTTTTTATTGATGTATCCGGGGTGTTGTTGCCCCACTGATGGTTAGTCACTTGCGTGAAGAACCAGGGAGGGTGTTCGTGGGTCTACGGACATGGTTTGGATACATTAGCCATACGTACAAGTGTGACGCAGATGGTGTAGAACCTTTTAGGTAGGGGTACGGTGATGATGCACCGGGACCCCCTTTGTTGAGTGCAGCAGCCGCGCTGCCACTCTCTCTTTCTCCTCCTGCTTTCCGAGCACGACAGCGTCCTGGGTACGGGCGTTGTCTCACCGTCTGAAGTTAATACACTACACAAACAAGTCCCGATAAGTACGCGGAGTACGGCCGACAAACAAGGCTGCGGGACAAGCTCCGAAGTAGTGATTTTGCACACGTATCAATCATCTGCGGTGGTGCGTTTGCTCAGTTTTGGCCTGGAATGCACATGACTGGATTCCCTTCCCGCGGTAGGGAGTTGTGTCGTTCCCGCGGCAGGGATCTGTGTATGTATGTCCATTTCCGCTTCTACCGACATGTTATAGCTATTCTCAGAGACAGACATATCGTTATGCACACCAGTTCCACCTTTCTTCCACCCCAGACGCGTAACACCACTTGTTCTGCAAAAAGAAATATCAGAGTGATAAACGTTCCACGCCACAACTCAAGTCCATTGCCACAACTAGAGAACACAATCAATCTACGTATACATCGTACCACTTCAACGCTTTTCAAAACCTCACAACACTTGTTCCATACGCCCTACAAGACTGCATACAAAGTGCAGTTTGCCCTGTACAGATATTTCCATCAAAATCTGCTGTGTCCGGTCGTCCCGGTCCTTCCCACACAGCAATCTAGGAAACGAATTTTACCAATCGCTCTTACAACCAAGGCGACGCTTTGCGGCCTAAACTCGTCGGGGATTCCGGGTGCAACTATCAATAAGGTGGGCACGCCAATACTCCTCGTCGTCAGCACTCCCAACATCTTCGAAGCACAGCGGACAAGTGCTGCCTGGTCCACCTGTAAGATGAGGCATGCATCGGAAAGGGGTTGACTGCAATACCGACAGGGGCGAACACATGCTGGCGCTAATCGTAGTCAGTTCATTTGTGAGTGGTACTGGCCCACCAACTCTTGAGAGGGTCCGACAACAACAGCGGTCTCACTCGTGCGAAAGTCTGAAATCATGTCTTGAACCTCGTGTCCATTCGAAGCACACGCAATAGCATCGTGGATTGATTGGTGCGCCAGTTCTTCAACAGATGGCCAAGCGCTCAGCTACTCACCCTTCCCGGGAGGCTTGCACGACTTCGAGCGTTGCCACCTGTCAAGGTCCTCGATGCGGATAGCGAGATGGCTGATTTCGCACTCCGTGTAGTTCTCACGATTCTGACACTCTTCCAGGAGGTGTTCTGGTATCGAAGATATCTCGATCACCTGCCAAGGTCCCATGAATTTCACGAGGATCAGCAACCAAGATAAGACTAAGACAAAGCCTTTCGCAGGGTGCAGAACGACAACAACAACAACAGCCAGCACCAAACTCCCTCGCCCGCTCACAGTATAGCATTTCATCCGCTCGCTCGCATTGACAGGCGGCCTTTCCCGTCATTTTGTTCAACTATCAGTTATAGCGGGAAAGGGTGTTCCCGTGGCCGAATCTGAGCTCATTGCGCGTGATGAAAGTTGAACGTAATGCCCATCGAGCTGCTGATGCAAAAGATCTGCGATCCATTCGGATCGACAATAACGCATCAACAGCACGTAGTGCGTGTTCTGCCTCGCTTTCGCTCAACGCTACGATACAATCTCTTCGTATTTTGCGCTTCGCATGCTCAGAATCTTGGCCAGAGGGACGCGTGGAAAAACATGCAATATAGGTGTGAGGTGAGATCTCCTGTATTCCAAGTGTCCACTAAGCCGCTAAGACTCTTTCAAGCCATGTTCAAAACAAAACAGTTTTCGTTTCGAGCGTCATGTAACATAACTCTCCACCTCGATGTTGAAGTAACGTACGTTTGGCGATCCGGATGTTTGCGAACATCCGGGTTTCTCTGCCTCTCCTAACTCTGGCACCAGATGCTGTCTTGATAACATTAGTCATGGATGTCCACATACATGACGACCGGACCACATATATATCTGTATCTTGAAACCGACCGCTTCAAATGAGCGTGCGTGGCGCAGTCGGCGACACCTTTCACCCGATAAGGGAGGTGCCCACCTGGTGGTACAGCAGTACGTCACGTGGAGTCATCCCGCGCTCAAGGGGCCTTGGTTGCTGGCTTCAACATTGCTGCCGCAAGGACAACTACGAATGGCGGAAGCCCGTACTCTGTGGTGAATACCCCACGAGTGTGGGAAAATGATCTCTCAACACAACGTGCTTGTGCAATCTATCTACTTCAAGTAGCTTCCTCAACGCTGCCGTGAAGTGACACACACCCATGGCCAATCTCTCGGACGCACCTGGCCGCACTCTTCGCAGCTCATCAAAAGAGGGCAGTTCTGCCAATAGTGCATGTCGAGCTTTTCGTCGGTGAAGGAAGGGTCGTACTTTCCACAGAACTGACATGTGCACGACACGTCATCATCCATCTCCTCCGATTCCTTTGTCTGCCCAACCTCGGCCTCCTCGGCCGAAAAAGCTGACGCGGAGGCAGAGGCCGAGCCCAAACACCAAAGGAACATTAACAAGAACACACGTTAATTGTTGTTGGGTAGGGTCCGTCCAGTAAAAACAACAACTTCACCAAGGTCACCGTGATGGACTATTTCGAATCCGATGCCTCCCCTCTGCAACCGATGTGGCGGCTGAAGACAACAGTTCGCGATTTTATCAAACATGCATCATTCTGAGCAAGGACAAAGTTAACGGTTCATCTCCTACTCGTCTCACCTTGAGTAGGCGACTTCGCCGGGGATGCATGCGCACCACCTTTTTCTGTCCTCAATGGGCTGCGGCTTTGGTCAGGACGGGTTGTCGTCTTCTCTCTATTGCTGCCGCCAGCGCTGCGGGCAGTCCTTGGGGTGGCCGTCTCGAGCGGGGAACGTTCTGAAGCAGCGTGTGCACCATGGCCGGGTGGAAAAGGGAGTCAAACACAAGAACAACAACTTGTTTGGGTGTAACGGCTGAATTAATACACGTAGGTAGGTGGCCGTTGGGATTGACACGAACGCTTCTAGAAAGAACATGAGCTGACCATGCTAGGGAACGGGCAGGTTAACACTGCCACCAACAACGATGTGAGGCGCTATAACAGTCAACCAACCGGGTTCGCCTCGACGAGGAGTGGTCCGAGTCCGAGTTGCGCTGGAAGCTCGGCGGCTTGTCTTGCCCTTCGAATGCCGAAACGCTTCGTGATACTCATCCAGCTGCTTCGGTCTGAGCCCCATGAGGTACGGTTCAATCTGTACCAGATGTATGCAGTCACAGTAGGCATGAACAGGAGGCGACGGGTGTTGGCAAAAGGATGCCGTGGGAAACCCACCCAATTGGTACACACGACAAGATCGCTGCACGCATGCGGGAGAATCGGTGTGCGAGACACCAGGCCCACATCAGAAGCGTCAAGGTGGTATTGGTCCAACAGCGCGTGGTTACCCATATAACCGCTACCAGCGTCCGCCGAGAGTGAAGCGGCCGTAAACGGCCCATCTGACAGTCGCTTCCGACCAGCATAGTTTTAGGAGCAACCCGGAGAAAGAAACCAACCCCCCAATCCCCAAGGTCTTCAACAGACAAAAACTCAACCCCTGTGTGAAACGAAACCGTATTACTTCGAGTGGTACAATATAAGTGCAAGCAAGCGTCTCACTTCTTCTCCAACGAGGCCGTGTAGCGCCACCGTCAATTCTCTCGCTGCGTCTCGTACGTCGCCGTTGCTGTGCGCGAACCCGTTGCAAGACTATTCTCACCCATGCACGGCATCGATGGGCAACACAAACATTGTAGTCCATTGGTGAGAGGTGGTCCAGAAAGAAGCAAGTGAAGGCGGACAGCAGTGCTCAACGGGAGAATCTACCACACCTGAAATTGAGTTGAATGCTATTGCAGGGGTCGGTCTCGATGAACGAACAGCGCCGCTACCCAGTCGGGCGTGTGACGCACCCGAGAGAGCAACCATGTCTTGCCCCCACTGACCTGAATGAAGCTCATGATACCGTCAGCCGTCAAGCCGCCGCCTTCGAGACCAAACTCGCTGACCAGCTTCCTCAATAGAACAAGTCTAGCCGTGATTGGTCTCCACGCCGACAATTGTTTCTTCACCAGCGGCTTGAGGGCTACATGGCTGAGGGGAAAAAAGGTGTCACGAAGAAGAATTAGCTATCATACTTAAGTTTGAAGACAACTACACTACCAGATTCGCATACTTTGTATGCATATGTATCATTTCAACTTTTTTGGTGCTCGGGTCGTTTTTTCTCTGCTGGGATGGCGTTTTTTCTCGCACTTTCTTCTGCATGGCACGCAGAGGACCCGTCGGTACATTACCCGTTACGTGTGGGGCTCGAGAGACACCGGTGGTGCGCGTTAGGGCCTCCTAAAGTCGGTGGGACTGGCTCTTTTTTCAGGGGTTGGGAATCCGAACCATTAAAGCCTCCTCAAACGGCATGAAAACTGAAAACAGAATTTTTTTTTGCCTCGCGCCACGCGCCACGCGCCCACGCGCCCACACACCTGCTGCTGTGATTTGTTGTGAACACAATCACCACACGGCAACTGGCGCATGTGTACCCACAGCGGGGACCAAGACTCTTGATGCTCATGAGAACACACCACGGCGACACAGCAGTCCTCTCGCACAACTCTGGCAGCGGTAAATTTGTACATTTCAATTCGGAAAAATCGAAAAAGCCAAATATAGAAGTTTGGCACGGTAGCAGTCTACATCTGCTACTGTGGCTGTTCTTGGGCACGTTGAGCGTCTCTTTGATCCGTTGTTTTTGGTGTATGCGTGAAAAAGTCCCACTGACCATGGGAAACACGATCACACAAGAAGAGAAAGTGATCAAACGCAGCGGATAACAGCAGTAGGACCTGCAGCAAACCGCTTTAGCCAACACCACTCACCACTCGCGCACAACGGAACGTCACGGCGGGAGAAAACAAAATACCCCGCACAGTTGCCGCACATGTGTGATGCAAATTCCAGACAATTTATTAGTATGCGGGTTGCACGCAAGCCGGCACTACGAACGTTATGACGAGCAACCACGCGACCGCGATGGCATTGATTGGCCATGTCCCCTTGCGTCGCCCCCGGGAGGCAAATCACACACCTCCCGCAGGGGAACCTTGCATACTGTACGACGTGCATCTCAACTGGGCTGCAAGACAGAAAGCCCAAGTTTAAAGCTTGGACTGACACTTGGATTGCACCTTGCAAGTGTACATAAATGAGTTCGCGTTGTTTTCGGAGAACTCAAGCGTATCAAAACAAAAACTTTGGTCGCTACCAACTTCATGAAGTACCTACCTCTGACAAAGACGCCCGCCGGAGACAGCCAAAAGGAAAATACTACTTTAACTACGTACCTCACGAACACCGGTCCAGCCGTGCGGCAGCGTGCCACAGCTACGAGGCCATTCATTGCCCCGTCTCGAAGGCGGGCTTGCCCATCCCCTTGCTTCTTAAGGAGCGTAGCGACGGTTGGTTCCAGCGCGGCCACGACATGGTTGTGCCGCGCTTCCTTGCAGGCCCCTACAGACATCAGGACTGCCTCCAGAAGGTCCAGAGTAGTGAGGAATACCTTGAACAGTTCGAGGTTTCGTTGCATGCAACAGAGGAAGCTCAAAAGAGCAACCAGGACAGCAGTCCGGGCTGCCTGCTCTCAATCAACAAGCGTGCACGTGCGTTGACGACAATAGTCGAACTTGTCTGCATTTTTACACTTCAGGAACTTTTGAGGAATTGTGGAAGTTACCGACCGCGGCAGCGATTTTCGGCATCCAGACCGCAGGTGTTAGCGATCGCACACGAAGCAGAAGGTGTGGAAATCCATTTTCACCTGCGCAATTTTGTCCTCAAACCCCACACGAAGGATCTGACATAGCTCAGTCAGAGCGGAGTTGATACCCGGGTCTTCTTCCAGAGCAGGCAGGATAAGCTTTATCTGCTTGACGACAGCGGACACGGAAGCCAAAAGCGGGGGGAAAGTCACAATCATGGCCACGAGGGCCACGCCTGATACAACACGCCTGCACCACTGCGAGCAATCACTCTAAACCTTGGGGCCAGTGCGATAAGGCGGTACTCTTCGGCATGGGGCAGCGGAGGTAGTATTCTCCGGGCTTTAGGGGTGTGCAACGTCTGTTGAACAAAGCAACAAACACGCTTCCTTTCGTCTTGGGCACAGAAGAGCATGTGCAGCCACTCAGTCCCGTTTTAGGTCCAAAGCAAATACTGGATGCCATCCTCCTGAGGTAATACATAGTGCCAGCGGCAATTCTTCCTAAAGCAGCTTGCAACACAGAAAATGTCGAAATGTATGGTACCTGCAAAAACGACTTGCCGGTTTTTGAGTAATCATATGTCGAACGGGGCGGCCAATGGGCCAGCAGGACTCGAGACAAAAAGCGCAGCACGTACCTTCAACACTGCAGCCTCCCGAAGAGACCACGTCTTGCTGTACAGACATCGCGTCAGATAGTCTCCTAACAGGTTATTCAGTCCTTGGACCTGCCACGAGATAAAAACGAGAGAGAACGCCTTGTTTACCTCGTGTCTCGTAGCAACGGCTACTCAGACCACGCCCAGCAGCATGCATGAAATCGACTTGTGACCAGCATGCCAGCTCGCTACGGCGAGCGCGTTGGGACAACTGTGCAGCCAAAACCCCAACCCCAAGGACCGCCTTGTACCAACTTTGGTCCGCAAGCGAGGAGATCACTCACTTCCGAGAGATCAACCTTAGCGCTCAAGGGCTCCGGTTCCGTCAGATCCTCAAGATCAGGTACCCCCTCCAAGGGGTGTTCTCCAGGAGGGTACCTCCCTTCCTGTGCATCTTCACCATCTCTGACCTCCCAGCCCTCGTTCTCTGGGTGCGCTGGGCCATCGCGAGCAAGGCAAGGATGGGCATCGTTTTCAGCTAGTTGGCGAAAATGGAACTCCAACACCGGGGACCGAGCAAGGCCCATGCGAACACACAGAGAGGTGCACCCAGGAAATCAGTTTCTCTGCTGAACGGCACAAGCGACTTCGATCTTCGCAATTCTCACTAATAGAATGGTTTGCTCAAGGCGGAGAGCAGTCCCACTTGGAAACACACAACAGGCCGGGGCATGATGGGGGGTGGAAACGACACGGGGGGAAAGAAAGAACGCAAAGCTCCGTCTCACAAAGGCCACACGTGCGCTTGTTGTCCTCACGTGATCCGTGCGCCCTGCGCCCTTCACCCGAGTGGAGAATCCGCGGCGGTGCCTTCGGTGGTGAGCCCTGCACGGCATCCGTGCCGCCGTACCCACTACCACCACTATATCGCTCGTCCGGGCTAGCACCGGCACGTCCTTGGCCATGCTCGCGGGCAACGATAGGTCGCTCGTCCACCGGAAGCTGGTTCGGGCTAGCTGTTAGACACGTGGAAATCCGTTGCAGTGTGGGGGCCGACTCAGGTCGAGCAACTATGGTAGAACGTGGACAGAACCACGCTTTGCAGCAGTCCGTCCGTTTCATTGGGTGCGCGGTTGCCGAATTCCATCTCTTGCTGGAAAGCCAACCCCGAGGTCACGTCAAGAACCGATCGATGCCGCTCGACGTTGTTCAACATGGGTCGTGAGCAAGACTCTGGACCTTCAACCGTCGTTGGACCTAAGCGCAAAAAACAGAAATTAAGTGAGCTACAAGTACCGTGTCTCACCCGCAGAGTCTCCTTCTTCCCTGCCAGGGCCTGCGTTGTAACCTGGTGCAGTCCTGTCTTCGCCCTCCACGTCCTGGACGAAATTTTTCATGCCCGAGACCAATCATCTCCGGCAACAAACCACACAGGTATGAAATGGACTTGCTCGTTCATGGTACCAACATCGCCCAACAACACACTGGAGATCCTTCGTCAACGTCGACAGACATCTCTACGGAGAACAAACAACTCGATGCTACATATGTCAATCCTACCGCAAGGAGGAAAAGACATATCACTCGGCTAAAAAATATAGAGGTTCTCTCTAGATCGAAAACAAGGTACATAGCAAGCACATGCAAGAACAGGGGTGCCAAAAGCTCGAACATCCTCATATTCACACTAATCTTGCAGGTTCCCAAAAAAAATAACGACGTGAGAAGTTTCCAGCAACAAAGCTGGTGAGCACAGTACCTGGACGCCTGCTTCTTCCAACTTGATGCGGAGCTCCGGGTTGGGGTGCGCGGCGATCTGCAACCGGAGGGAATCCGCTTCCACCTAGTGAAGCACAAACAAACCAATCATTGCCAGTGAGAAATTGTGATGGAACAGGAACCTCCCCCCCCTTAAGGTAACCTGTGCACCGTGGGCGATTGCTCTCCTCGCGAGGAGCGTGGAAGCATTGACTCTTGTTGTTTCACACCTTCAACATCTTGGCCCTGTCGTAATCCTCATCTTCCACGGCCTGCCTTTTCGCAACCTCTAGTTTCGCCAGTTGTTTACCGAGGGACTTCAGTTGAGTCTCGGCCTCCTTGAGGAGTTTGGCAGTATCATAGTCCTGGGAGAGGGAAGAGAAAACATCAGAAAGGGCAGGAGTGCCACCACTGTAGTCGTGCTAAGGATGCCATCGACAGTCGACGGGCGTGAAAACAGCACGACTGGCAGACTCAAAAATGACTTATTTGTGTGTGTCGACTGAACGCTACCGTCAGCGAGGGGTCCGACTTTTTCGTTCTCTAGGATACATGATACTGTACTTCGGTGGTGTCCTCGACAAGAAGTCCCCCGAAGTCACTCCGTTCTTGACGTTTAAACCGTTGCATTGTGGCCGTGGTCGTGAAGCATAGGCCTTTCGCGTGTTAAGCACATATTGACGCCGCTCTCACTGGCAACAACTCTTCGCTACTACGCGTTTAACACCTGCAGTATGACTCCAATGACCGAGGAATATCAATCGTGTTGGTCGAATCTTCACCTCTGCACGTGCGGCCCTGTCCTTCGCGTTGGCGATGTCTCGTATCCGCTGAGCTGCTTCCGGGTCAAAGTTCATGTCGAAGCTCAGATCGTTCAACTCCGTGTGGCTGGCCCTCGCCGCCCCAATCTCCCTCCCGCTAAGCCCTGGAGGGTATGCCCGAAGTGTGCGGGGGCCTGCACCGTATGGTGCAGCGGGGTCATCCAAGGCCCCTGGTGCTAGTTTCCCGAGCTTCTCTCCAAGGAGGTTAACAGCGACGATTCCAACCTGAGGGACGCAACGAGCGCGAGCAGGGAAAACATCAGAAGGGAAAGACTCACGACGCACATGTTTTCTTGTACTGCGTTCCCGTCGAAGAGGTATAACATAACGAACACCTGGTATGTCTGCAACACGATCGTGCACGCAAAGACCCGTACAGGACAACAAAAACAGTAGCAAGTACACTCCCAACTTGCACCCTACCTGGTTGAAAAGGTTGACCTCGTTGATGTAGCACTTATGCACTAGCATTCGCAAGTACTGTCCCGGAGCATTGACGTAAACGCTCTTGAGCTCCCGTGCTTGGTACTTGGACCGCTCGTTGCTATTGAGACTGAGATACCCAAGCCGCCTGAAGTGCGCCGACTCGTACGAATCCCCGTGCCCTACGAAGAGCTCGATCTGGGTGGCGATTTTACTCTGATGCGACAGGATTTGCACCTGTCCGCAAATTGCGGTGGAAGCGCCGAGGATACGAGGATATCAGACATATGTAGGAGGAACATCCTATCGTACCTGGGTTGGAAATCTTCAGGCGCCGCCAAACGAAGCAGAGGTAGCCAGGCGGAAAGAAGGGGAGAGAAAAAGTGGCTCACAGCACCCATGGTATTGGATACAGGAATTCATCTCTCTCCAAGGCCTAAATCTACCGTTAGACCACGATCAGATGCCGGTCCAACATGGAAGTGTAGTGTGCCGGAAGCCTTCGACCTTGTCAGGTTGGGACTCCCAAGCATGCCGGAAGTTGGGCCGATCCTACTATATCGCGGCCCTCTGTTCAGGGCTCATCTCACTAATTCGGGACCATGACGACAATGTAGAACGAGAAACAATGCGCCTGCAGAATACAAGCACAACATGCCCCGTTTGTTTGCTTACCTACGGTATACGACGCAAGATAACACCCCCTCGCAGAATGCCACCACCGGTGCTAATACTTTTGGATCTCAAACGAGGAGTTATACCACCCGGGAAACACAAGAGAACACCTCCCCTGAGGTTAGACCGCATATATTCACGGAGCCACCACTGCTTTCACCCCGGTGATGACCAAGCAGCACAGGATTTTCCAGCAGGGAACACATTCAACACACCCTCTGGATGCGGGGGAACCGCCCTGGATGGAGACCTTCCATGACATGAACGTGCAGGGAGAGCGGAATCCTGCTGCAGCTACGTCTGCTGCTTCGGTAGCTGTTTCGACCGCAGCAGTGGCTCGACCCATCACCCGCTTCTTCCGTCAACGCGAGACAGGTTCTACACCTTCGGCTCCTCTTGCTGCTGCTGCTGCCGCCGCCGCTGCGGCTGACAAAGCTGGCACAGCAACGAGCGCCAGCCATCACACTGGCTCAGCAGCCTGCTGCTGAGGGCGACTCAGCAACTTGCGAAGTTGCTGATGCAGAATATCGCACCCCTAGTGATCACATCCTCTGGGTATCACAACCCTTTGTTACCACACCCCTTTTCGATCCCCGCAAGTGTGAGGCAGGGGTACCACACCCCCTAGTTATCACACCCCTTCATGACTCCCACGGCCGTATTTATTCACCTGGGCTACACAAAATATCACACTCCCCGCACAATAACACCCCCGGTGACAGATGTTTTAAACGCCAAAATGTTATTCCCGGGGAGTTGTGTCGTACACGGTAAACCGAACGAAGAGTGAGAAGTGTTGGTCACGATACTGTGTTTTGCGATCTATTTAGCCAATCACCCTCAAACAAACCTTGACGTAGATGTCGGATAACTACCCTAGAGTAGACGACCAACAAGAAACACGGGGGTGGTTGCCCCAGTATCGTTTTATGACGATATTCTATCCAAAGCGGGCAGGGAACGCCGAAAAGACGACACCTACATGGATAGCCAATGCTACATACAACCGGTCGCCCCGGTGGTCTAGTGGGTAGCCTCGCAGCCTGCTAAGGGCCAGGTCATGGGGTTCGAGTCCCGGCAGAGTGAGATTTTTTCTCACTAAATAAATCCTGGTCTAGGATGAAAGGGACGCGCTGCGAAGCTCGTTTGTTAGTAAACCATAGTCGACTTCGTAAGTCGCGAGGGAAGGGATTGCTGTACCCTTCTCGCGATAAAAATACCTCAGGCAGGAACCGCAGGAGGGTGTCCAGCCCCCCCCTCCTATGTGACCCCGGTTGGGTCGTCTAGCTGGTAGAAGTGGAGGATAGGGGCCAGAGGGGCAGACGACAGAGTCCAATGATGGGAGATAAAAAAACAACAACAGCACAAACCCACCAGAAGAAGTCGAAGGCGAAGATAAAGGGGAAACCATACTTGTAAATAGGAGCTCTGGTCCGTTTGTGGGATCTACCACAATGGATCGAAGACCTGGCTCCTGTCCATACGTTTCAAAAACTCAAAACAAAACCACTGAAAACAAAACACAATGTGGCAAGACCGCGGAAATAGAGGATGCGACGCGGAACAGACCCAACCGCGGGCGGTTGAGAAGAAAACCTCGAGAAACAACACACAAAAATTGGGCGCCCGAGCTCGCGGGTTATACTCGCGAGGGAGGAATCCCATGTGCAACCTACATCCGAAACTGCGAACTCAAGGTTTGCACTACATAGTCCACATCGTTGAATGATAACGGAACACTTGTCACTGACGTCAAAGGTTGAACTGCTGCGCCCACAGCCCCGCCCTACATGGGTCATGCAACTTTTAGAGGCGCCTTTCGCTCAAATCAAGATGGTTTCGCTACTACAGTAGTGGGCTAACCTCTGTTAGTAGCAAAGAGAAAAAAGTGAGCGAGATAGAAGCAACCTCACCCAGACGATAGAGATCATGATGTCTATCTACACTTTCGGCGCTGGCTCATTTAGATATGCGTCGACCAGCAACACGTTCTACAGGTACATGCAGCAGAATCGACACGACGGCGTAAACTTACAGATAAAACCCCTCGCGCTGTTCGCAATGTAACATGCAAGATCGTGTATTCTGGCCAAGAGAGCCATTGGGTACAGAATAGTCTAGGAACCAAGAAAGACAACATGGTCTCCAACTATTTGAGATGACTCGTCCACGTCCTCTCCGTTAGCCTATGTACATGAGCTATATGGCTCCCTCGACTGCAAACAAACTCCACCGTCTGCTCAGTGAATAAAAAAAAATCCTTGTTCAGACAGCGACACGCACCTGGGATACCCGCGCTGGTGCTTCCCAAGCCAGTCCTAACTCCTGTGGATAGTCGCAAAACTGTGGACTCTGCCATCCTCTTGTGTGGGGACTGGACGACAGCCGAGAGGACGGTGAGCGTGTACACCTTGCTTAGTCGGATATTACGACAGCGTATTGAGTGAGGGCGACGAATCAACACCAAAAAATTCAAAAAAAGAGGGAAATGCCTTTCTTCACACACCTGTGTGCATTCAGCTCTTCGGCCGGATACTCTGGTTCTTCTCCCGAGCAAAAGCACACCGAAAAACGAAGCTTACTCATGGCAACACTCTATTAAGTGTGCCTGGTGTCTGAGGGGAGAAAAGAACGTTGAGGCATGTGAGGGTGCTTGCCGGCCCGTGCGGTGCTGGGCAAGGGGGTACGACGATGGGGCGAGGGAGACGCGGGGGGGGTGCTGTTGTTGAGTGAACCTGCCCGCCCTACACTCTCGCTGGCCACTTGTCCCCGGCGCAGCGCAGGCTGGAGCTGTGTCGTAGAATATAGGTGAGGGCTGATATTCATCAAGAGGCAAGGTACGAAGGGAATGTCGTTTAACACACGTAGGGAAAATCAGGTAGTAGCAGGTGTACGCCCCCAGAAGTGCGGGACAAGAACGGTGTGTCAAATTGTTAACCGTTTGTACGTAGGTTGGACTTTCCATTTCTGAGCGGGTTGTGCACCTCGTTGGTCCTGCTGGACTGAAAACTTGATGCGTAAGTAGTAGCATTTGTCCTCGGATTAGCACCACACAACATAAAACACATAATCGCTTCTCTGTGAACGCACTGAGATTTGCGAGTGAAATGATAATAATTCTCATTTTTTTTACTTGCATGTTGTATGCATAAAAGGCAAAATATGTCTTGATTTTCGTACTCCGTTGTGGAAAGTTGACCAATCCTAGCCCTCCAGAAGCGGCAGTAGAAATTACAGAATTAGAAACGGTTGTACGCCGTTGTACACCCTTCCCCCATCAGAACATTAGCAAGGCACGCCTCTCCACAGAAATCCCTGTCAGAAGAAGTTTTGTCTGTTGTGTGCAAACGAACACATACAGCAGTATTAATAGTTGCACACAGACTTCAAGGTTTCTCATTAAGGTATCTTGCACTGCTGCGGTGTACACGTCCTTCTCTCGCTGTGCATCGTTTTACCTACGCTTGCTGCATGGCATTCTTCGTCCTGCCTGTGTTTGCCCAGTGCGCTGCAGCAGTTCAGTGCAGAGATTTGAGGTGTGGGCGCGATGGAGTCTCCTCTCGCGGAGGTGGCGTCACCTCCCGTGGAGGAAGCTCCTGCAGAGGAGTCCGGAGACGCCCACGGCGACGCCTGGTCGTGCCCTGTCTGCTTCATGTGGTTCGATATGCCTGTATTTCCTCCATGCCAACACACTTTTTGCGCCGGGGTGAGTGTACCAGAGATGTGTTGCAGCGTTCCCACCTGAAGGACGCAACCTGTTCGCACTGGCTGTTCTCATTGCAGAAGCCTGGGAGCGGTTTTTGCCGGTTCCCAGGAACCACCTTGGGTACATCGTTTATTGCATGCCAACTCTGCCACACTGTTGAGGTCATGCCAGCCATAAAAACCCTATTTCTCCATGCTACCTTAAGGCATCCACAATTGGCGGTGCGCTGTTGTTGACAGTGTTTGAAGTCCGTCGTGAGGGCAGCGGCACACCGACAACGTCGAAGTGGGAACACGGGACCTTCGGGACCTGCGTGCCCCCTGTGTAGGTGGGTTTGAACTACGTGACAGCGGCCACATTCACTCTACACTACAACCTAGCTTCTGGCACCTAAAGTACCCTCCAGTACGTCTTGAAATGCTGCTCTACCATTTGTTAGTAGAACGGCTCGTTCTCATATACTGCGTTTCTTGTGCTCTTCGAAAAGGGAACCATTTACCCCCGAAGTCGTTCAGCCCTCGGCTCGGATCTTTGAAGAGATGCTCAAGGCGACTGTCACGTGTCGGAATGGCGACTGCGCAGCCCAATTTTGCCCGCTACGTTGGAAGAAGCACCAGGTAAATCACTGCACACCCCTTGGATCGCCCTCATTGCATTCGACGTGTGGTTGTATTCGATGGGTGGAGGTGATCGTGTTTTAGATTTTGATCGTCTTGAGTGTTTGAATGTTTGCTGCCTTCTTGCCGTGTGCTTTGTCGGTCCTTGCCGGTTTCAAGGGATGAAGCGATGTAATTTGACCAAGACATGATCGGCGTTGGGTCTGACGGGCGTTGTCGAAGGGGACGAAAAAAGTGTCCATATTACAACAAGACGTAAGACTTGAATTTCCTCGTTAAGTACGATGTATAGCAGGAAGCTCCATTCACCGGCAGTGGCCTGTGAGCTGCAACAATTGCTCACGACATTGGACGTCATAGCAAGCCCGGACGTTGTCTATTGTTATGAGTTTACACGAGCAGCAACCCCTGAAGGCCCTGATGAAGATTCGCTTGCTGTTGCATTGCTCTCTTCCAACAGACGGTTTTAAGGGGGCGGCAGAGCGGCCAATTAGACTCATCCCCTGATAATTATATCCCAGGGAATTGCAGCTTCCGCCATTGCCTATTTTCTTCCCCAGAGCCATCGTCCAGATCCCTGTACTCAGATGTTACACTAGACACCCTTTTTTTTTCAGCAGCTTGCGCGTACTACAACCGCTCATAATCGAGCTTGGCTTTGTCATGTTCCCTTGGCAGGAGGAGTGCCCCTCTGCGGTAGTGCAATGCATGCACCACCTGGTGGGTTGCGTTTGGGAAGGCGCCAGACGGGATCTCTCATTGCACGTGGAAGGATGCGCTTACGAGAAGATTAAAGGCTTGATTCCTCGTGTTTCGGCCTCTCTTAAGCAGATTCACACACAGGTTCGTAACAACGTTTCTTGGTCCGTTCTTTCTGCTGCCAGCAAACCGTGCTCCCGGTATGGAGTAAGATTGACCGAGGCAATAGCGCATCTAGTTGGAGTGGACATTAATCTTGCTTCGAACTTCTTCTACCTCTACCCAGGTGCACCAACTAGAAGCCAGAGTTATGGCACAAAACGCTGCCGTCGCGAACACTCGCGCTCTGCTGGCACATCAACGACAAGCCGGATCGGTATTTCCGGCGGTTTATGCGCTTCTTTGGCGCCCTCCCAACTGGCGACTATACCAATCTCCGAGGCCGGTAAGCAAATCAGCGTATCCAGTACCCATTATGTCCTTCCTTGTGCCTTGATTTTGACATGTATTGCGAATCTAACACTTCGGGCTGACGGGTGCATGATTTCACACTACGGGTGGTACCTTCTTGTTATTCGCCACACGCCTGACCTCTGTTCCGTTTTTTGCCTGCTTGCTGCAGGGCGGTGGTGTCTTGTCCAACGTGACGCTCATCTGCCTCGCGCCCATCCTTTTTTTGGCTCTGTGTGGAGCTGGGGTGTTCGGTGGAGGCGGTGGGCTGGTGGTGGAGGAACGTGCTGTATGTTTGGTAGGGGTGGCTATCTTGGGCTTTGTGGCACTTCTGGAGCACGACAATGAGTCTCCATATCACGAGTTGCAAACTCCTTCACTGCTCAAGGGCCTGGCGATCGGCGAGTTTTTACTAGAGGGCACTGCGCGGTCAATGGTTTACTTCGCCCTGAAAGGACTGCCGGACTGGAAAAGGACGCCCGCCCTCCTGTTCCTTCTGGCCCCGCTCTTTTACCCAACCGTTGTTCAGGCTGTCCACCGCTTCGAGGTGAGAGAATGCAACGAGTATTTTCTGTTTCAACCTTCAACCGGCGTGCTTTCTGCATTTTTGGCCACCAACAACCGACCATCCTCTTGTACGCGCCAGGTACAAGTCAAGAACGCCCACAACCAGGCACAACGCGCACGAGCGCAACCCCCCTTGCCGCCGGTTGAGCCAGTAGCTGTCAAGACTCACGGCACGGTGGTGAACGGGGTTGTTCGGGGAACAACCATGCTTTTGATGAACCCGGTGCCCGCACTTGTGGGCGAGGTCTTGGCCAAACTTGGTGTCTTCGTCGTTTCTGCTGCGCTGGGGCCAGAGAAGCTGGATGCCTTTTTGGAGCACGTGTGGTGAGTTCTCGCCCTCACCGCTCCTTTGAAGGAGGACTTTAGATTCCAATATAAATGTGGAAATTACGCCGGGTGTCGATGCCGCTAACGTTTTTTGGGACACGCCTGTTGCACTTTCCAACGGATGGTCGTAGGTTGGTCATGAGCTCTGGTATTGCTCTGGACGACAAAGCACGTCTCAAGAAGCGGCACGATTCCATCTTTCGGGATCTGAGAACGCCACTACCGAACATGACGGACCGCACAACAAGGCGGCTCATCGCCGCGGTCTGCGTGTGCCTGTTCGCCATAATCGTGGCCTTCTTCAGGTGAGCACCACCCTTCTGGCCTGGATTTGAAATCGTGTGTACCCCAGCGAGCGTTTATGGACGAAGGGGCGGAGCTGGTATACAGTGTAACAATTTCTGAACTTGAATGGTCTTTCGACTGATGGAAGATTGGTCCCGTTGAGATGCACGACTACACTCAAATCCGAGCGGCCGCTCCCTTGTTTCGTTGTGTTTGGCGTCGCAGAGATATCTTGCAAATGGTGGGCTACAGCCGGCTCCTTCTCTCGGTCCTGGACAGCGCTCATTTCAGATGGGAGCTTCACGTAGGTCGAGTAGTGATGGGATCACTCCAACAAACGAGAACGAACCAGGACCCCAACTTCGCCAGGACCCGTGCACGTGACCTGCTCCGTTCACGCCTGTTACTGCTGTGGGTTGTGGTGGGGTCGTCATTTTTTCTACTTTTCATGCTGACTTCTTGAGTCCTGTGTCCTGTGCAGCTTAGACTCGATTTATCTATTAAGTTACTTCCGTGTGTCGATAGGATTGACGTGGGTCGGCGTGAAATGTTGTGGATTCGAAACACACATCTGTTTGCTGTAGTCGTCGTGGGAAATCATACACAAGACGCACATGCTCTTCTTCAGCACTTGCTGTAGGTGTGTCAGGGATGCTGCTATCTCCTGTGTACGTTGTGACAATGTTGTTGAAAGGGCACCCACAGCTGTGACGATCGGTGCGTAGGTCAAACATACGAAGCTTTATTTTTTTTTTCTTAACGTCACACAACAAATCCATCTCTATTTATAGAAATACGTCTAAGATAGACTAGCAATGAATCCATAGCGTGAGCGAAAGGCTACCTGTATGTCTACGGTTTCCCAGACAGCATACAACGATATCTCCCCTGTGGGTAACAGGCTCAACAAGGCAGTTTGGTAGCCATCTTGTTTT